CTATGTCATTACGCATACACTCAACGCCTTCGATAGCTCAGCTGGAAGAGCGCGGGACTGTAATTGGATGCCAAACATGTATGCATTCGAAAGCATATCCCGAGGTCGCTGGATCAACGCCGGCTCGAAGGACTGGACTACATTACGTCCGAATCTTTTTGACGGGGACATCCTTGTCGGTGTATCGCCGGAATATTGCTCATGTGGAAGCGGAACCTACAAAGGAACGTCGCGTCGCCGCTACTCATGGAGATGCCGCATCGCCGGTCGGTCGACGTCTCAAGAAAGGGCGCGTGCTCGTGTGGCGCGTGTGTCCCACGCGTGAAGCCAGTGACCGGCTCTTTCAGTGTTCGCGCACGCGCCAACCTCTTGCCGCATTCGGAAGGCGTCATCTAGTTCGAGAAGACACTCGAAGGCCGCGCTGTGCCGGATGTCGAGGTCTTCCCAACCTTTGTCCTCGCTTTCCTTTGCGAGTGGCGGTATTTCCCGAGGCCACTATATAACCCGTTCACATTCGTGCCACAGGACACGCATCCGCTTGAACATGGACGACGACGTATCTCCATCTGGCTTCATGCTACTTTTTTCTGCGCTGGTCGTCGCTCTCTTCATCGCCACCCTGGTGGTGGCCGCCTACAAGTTCCTACGTCTGCTTCGCCGACTCTTCAACACCGGCACCAAAGCGATCTCGAGGATCTACACCTATCTCTATATCTGGGTACATGGGGGACGCGCGCTTGACGATACGGAGGCGGGCCTCCAAAGCCACACAGGGTACCGCGTTCGGCCCCGACGAAACGTCGATAGGCCACGTCTTCCTGTTGTCGTAGGTCCACCACTGGAAGCGTCTCCGGTTGCCATCGCCGCCACGTTCCCAGCCACCACCCAACATGTCCCGACCGTCTCATCCATCATCGAACCTCCCTCGTGCCCCGAGCAGAGTGCACAATCGATCGCTGCGCCTAAGTGCGTTGCGATCCTTTTCTCTCATACACGTTCACTAAACATGACGATAGAGAACCCAATGAACCACCATATATCACGCATCACAACACGGCCCTCAAGATGAAACTCGCCCCTCATGCTCCCGTCAGCTTCGAACACGCCGTCAACTACTACCAATCAAGCGGACTCGTGGCAATCCCAGCGCCCCCTTTTAATCCGGAGAACGCCTGGGCGCTGCCAGCGCGCAAGGGTGATACATACGCTCATCACGTTCACGGAGAGGCGCTGCAGGTCCAGGTCTGGTACCGAGACGACCCGGCGACGCCTTGGAACGTGGCCGCGGAAAAGTTGCACGAGCAGCGCTTTCCGGATATAGGCCAAGTATACCCGGCTTCGGGCTCTCATCATGTCCTCAACATTCGCGAGGACGGGTTCGCGACCTAGGTTCAGTACAAGACGGCGAAGCGCTATATGGCGAATGATCAGAGACGGGTATGTGATTTGTGCCTTCAGTTGGTGTTCGATGCTGATCGTACACGATAGGTGTCTGATATTATCACGGGGATGATGATGATGGCTGCTACGTTTGTTGGAGGGGGTGGTGGACAGGCGGCTGGGGAGGGCTTGGAGGGATGAGGGGATGCACCGAATCTCGATTGAAGATACCCAGGTCTGTGACCTCGAGCGCGGTAGATATTCAGCGACTGACCATACGAGTCGTCTAGAGAACACAACACCGATTCCCGACGCCATTGAACGGCGAGCATACCCTATACGATACACATTCTCACATTCACCAGGGGTGATGTCATCATCTGGTTCTATACACGCTTACAACTAGTACATTTCACCGTCATATTACTGGAGTCTATTCCCGCACTTCTTCTTGTGTCCCCCTTCCTTCCAGTCCCTGTCGAGACCGTCATCGATGTATATACAGCGAGAATGCAACGCGCTCACCTCGTCTGACACTCGCGTCCACAATATCGGACCTCTCCACAACCTTTACGCCACAGCTCGGCCATCCCGGACACGGAGATACCGGGTCGGATTGCCCTCTTCTGACCTTCTACCACCACCACCACCACCTTCTCCTCTTACCTACTGGCATGCTTAGCGCTCAGCGCTCGATGCGTACGAAGGCATATTGGTCGCGAATGCGCACCTAAGTCTAGTGTATTACCCGAGCTTAGTCAGGCTTGAACACGCCACACCGTTCGTACAACACGCCAACCACGTGCAGGTCGTCGAAGCGTACGCCAGAGCCTCGCACAACGTGCCCGTGTCACTAGCCATGATCAACACCGCGAACGCGCTCAACACTGGCTACATGCAACGCATATGACTCCTCGAGGCGCCATCGCGGGCTCAAGACTGCTCAAGACCGGGGCGTGACCGACGTTCCTCACGCTCCCCCTCATTCCATTCGACCACCTGGTCCGACAAGCTTCCCCATACCTGGAGGTGAGAAAGGCGAGGGTTGGGATGATGAGACAGTGATGGTCATTGGTTTGCCAGAGAGACCGCGAGGTGGAAGATGGTGGAAACAAGGAACGATTGGTACTTCGTCTACGCGTCTCTCAACGTGCAAACGCTAACTTCGGGTACAGTCCGCGCTTTATGGCCTTTTCATTACCATCTACTCTTTGTAGTCTTTCTTCGCTCGTGAAGCCGGACAAGGAGCGATGGCAGTCAATTGCGCGCCGCCAAAGCCCAAAGCGAGCGATCTGCACCTTGCTCATTCCGCCCCCATCTTTCTTTCCGTCCACTACACATAGGTCCCTTCCCCACTCTACCTTAGATAATCGCCGCCTTTCAATTGCATGATGTTTTGTATCGTCGCTCGCGCCTTTGCGCCCGCCGATACGTTGAACCATCATTCGTTCATTCAACCCAGATCGGCGCGCACCAATTACTCAACGTTTCAACCTCCACACATCGAGCACGGAATGCGACCATGTCACTACACAAATCTCCATCGCCTTCGATAGCTCAGCTGGAAGAGCGCGGGACTGTAATTGGATGCCAAACATGTATGCATTCGAAAGCATATCCCGAGGTCGCTGGATCAACGCCGGCTCGAAGGACTAAGAGCGCTTGAGGAGACCTTTTTGGCGCCTTGAACTCATACAGGCCGGGCTCGTGGACGAACAAGTTCGCTCATGAACTTTGGACACATGCAGATGTGCCGGGTGCGTCCCACGCGCTGCAGCTCATCTGTTCCGACTAGCGACCAAATATCGTCTCCGGATAACGCCGAGTCGTGCATCGAACGGCATCTACCGTGATCTGCACAGACGCTCGAGAGGCCGCTTTGTGGTCAGAATCGGGATTTTTCCGTCTTTTCAACGACTCGGCATTTGCCTGAGGGCAGTATAAAGCCGCTTGGTCGTGCCACCAGATGTACTATCACTCACCCAAAATGAACTACAAGGAACCTCACACCCACACTGTCCCTTGGAACGCGAAGGCTGTTCTACTATTCGCCATATTCGGTTTTATTGCCGTGTGGCTGGCTTCGAAAGCCCCTTTACTCGCTCTGAGATCTATCTGGCGCTCCATAACCACCCTGCTCCCATCGACGCCGCCGAAGGCATCTCGCGAGATGAAGAGGTTTACGACTCGGCGCTCGGCGCGTCGGGACGCAAATCTTCCCTCAGACTTGGCCGCTCGCCCGCTCATCCACGCGGCCACTTGGCATTGTCCGGATATGCATGCCCATGGGCCATCGACGAACGCAGGTGTCTTTAGGGCTAGTGCACAAGCCCCAGGAGAGTCCGGGGGCACCCTTCAACAGTCGAACCGGATCAACACACCGACTACGCCTCCCAACACCGGACCAGGTGGACTAGAGATGCCGGCGTCAGTAGATCATAACGAACGTTTTATCAAGAGTGCAGTGGTTGATGAGCTCTAGGTTATCTGGCCCATCTTCAAACGTCCAAGCTCCCGAAACGCCGCAGGTCCATCCGTATACCCCAGCGTGGATCTCCGCGGCGGAGCGGAAAGGCAGCAGTCGACCGCTTCCCACGGCTGACGATCTATTACCGACGAACGTGAAGGCCAAGGACGCGGTCTTGACGATGATTCTCAAAGAGGGCGAGCACACTCACGACGTCACGTACTACCGATCAAGCGGCACCGAACCGCTCTCTCATCCTAGCATATCAACAATTGGTCGGCCGGGCGACACATTCGTACATCATGTGCTGGACGTTCCGACCACAGTCTGGTACAGAAATACCAAGTTGGAATGGGAGGTCGCGGACGAGGTTGCGCAGAGATATCCGTACCTTGGCATGGAGATATACGACGAGCGTACGCGGTATGTCCTGAACGTCCGCGATGATGGGTTTGCGACGTGGGTCCAGAACAGGACTGCGAAGCGGTACGAGGCTGCCAAACGACAACGAGTGCGTAAACCAGATTGACTGGTCCGCAACTTCCGGCTGATTGTGTGCTGGGATAGAAGGCGGATGTCACCACGGGATATAAGCTGGCTCTCAAGCACATAAACCGTTTTATTTTTAAAAGTGTAGGACTGTCCTCAGGGGCAGTCCTCACTGATGACGAGAGTGACGAGATCACGCGAGTATGATAGGAATCGCGTGTGATTTGCAAGAGTAAGAACAAGAGGAGACCAGAATCCAGGGAAAAAGAAAGCAGGCGGTCGCAGCGAGCGAGGACGAGAACGAGGACGACATGTCTGATGAAGAGACGCTCGGAGAGGAGTCGGTGCGTGGCGCTTAACGGTGTGAGTGACGTCATGGCACTGAGCGGATGCCATCCAGAGAGCAAGTAACTGATATCCAATATAGAATGGTAACAACGGGTAGCTGGGCTACCCCCACGCAAACTACGTGGTATTGCCGTTACGCCATTCAACCCACAGGCCGTTGAAACAGGTCGTCCGATTTCATACGCATATATTGTACATACACACCACCCTGTACCATCTCACTCGAATCGATTTAATACACTTCCGCTTGTATCCTCTTTCCCTTCCAACCTCTATAGAAACCGTTATCCAAATACATCAGGTGACGACATGTATCGTGCGCACCTAGGATCCAGCTCTTCTGAGCTAAGTATGTGGAAAGAAGAGGTAGCAAAGCCAACTCGTTGCACAGGAGCTGGGTGTCCGTTGTGTACTGGTGAGCTCGGGTCGACGAGAGCCCTTAGGCCTTAGGGTTGGCAATCGGACGGTTCCGACGTCGACGGTCGAGTTCGGTTTGCGAGAGTAGAACAGCGCGCGGGCAAGGCTTCGACCTGAGGTCGTCACGGTCCCACGGGCCTTCGCTTATACTCTCATCAGCCTCATCGCCCCGGCGTTTGACTGCTATCGACGCAACGGATTCACGTCAATGGATTACAATCAGTTGAAGTCACTGGTAGTCGGGCACGCGTGCGTGTTCACTCAATGCGAGAATGTGTCGCGAGGCTAATCGTCCACCCAGCGCGCTGCCCGAGCTAATCCAAGCCATCGACTTGCAAAGTAAACCCCGACAGCTGACGTCTCTGCTCGATCTCGAAATCAAACGGAAGCAAGAAGCTTTACGTGACTTACAGGCGTACCGCAATTTCCTGGCCGCTCCCATCTCCGTGCTACCCCCCGAAATTCTTGCCGACATATTCTACCTCTATGCGAGCAACGGGTCATCAAACGCCCTATACGACCTGTCATGGGCCAAGATCATGTTGGTCTGTCAGACGTGGAGAAATATAGGGCTCTCTACGCCTTCTCTGTGGAGCTGTTTGGAGTTCGACGGGGTATCTCGTTCGAAACGACTTATCACTCAGCTCCAGCGCTCAAAGGGATGGCCACTCGACATCAAGGCCCGTTTTTACGGCAGTACTTACGGCTCTGCTTACCATGCTCTGGCTCGTGCTAAGCTTATACCTCTCGAATCCGCAAGACTTCGCTCGCTCGATGTTTATGGGAGCAGCAATGCTTTAGCCTTGTTTCTTGAGCGTGTCATACCGCCGATGCCGACGTGTCCCAATCTGTACGATCTCAAAGTGCATCATACCACGACGGACGTACCTCAGGACGGGCTTGAAGATGGGCTATTCGTGCTGCGCCATCTTGTGTCCGACGGAGTTCCTTCATTATCGTCTCTCCATCTGTACGATTTTGCCCCTCACTGGCAAAAACTACGTGGCTTGACGAAACTCGAAGTGGGCGGGTCAGGCGATGGGACATCTGTCAGCTGTGTCACCCTCCTCGAATCGCTCTCACGCTGCCCCTCGCTCCGCTTACTGGATGTTTCTCTTTCCACGGTCGGAGATGCCGCCACTCGAGATGACGCTCGGGTCTCACTGCCCTCGCTGCAGTTCTTGCGGATCGAGTCCCAGCACATGACGACATGCTGCTATCTGCTATCCTTCCTGAGCATACCTCCGGATGCGTCGGTCAATATCCCAGTGACGACAACATTCGATGAAATGCGACTTTCGCGCCTCCCCTCCTTACTACGCAAACACTTCAAAACCAAGGATGCTCGTCGAATGCATACCATATCACTACGAGCTCGCTCCCAAGCGGATGGATGGCAGATCATTGACATTGACATCTTCTCCTGTGTCAAGCTCGAACGCTTACGGCCATATCTGTCTACACATCCCGTGCGCGAAATGCCCTACTTATCGATATCCATTGCGGAGAGCACCTCGAATCATTTGCGACGGGCCCTTGCTGGTATACTGGATGCGATACCGGCGCAGGGAGTCACGCACATTGATATTGCCGCCAGCGATGCTTTGTCGAAGAAAACGTGGAAGACCATCCTATCGATGCTACCCGCTTTGACGACCATGATGATGCGTGTGGACGTCGCTGCATCGCTCACTACCATTGATGCCCTTAATTGGTATTTACAGGCCAAGAGAAGGCGCCCTATCTCTCATCTATTATTGGATTGCCTGTATCTCGATACAGGCGAAACCTCCGAGGATAATACACGCAACTTGCACATCGCCCAGACGGCTTATGCTGCAGCGGTCTCGCACGCTTCCAAAGTAAAGGCTTTGGGCCAATCTATGGACGTGATTGAGATATCTGGCGGTCGCTGGAACAGTTCCGCGGAAGACGTCATGCGCAATGTGGCGCAAAAGCATGTGTATCGTCTTCTGACGACCGGCCTCATCGTGGATGGATATCTCTACAACAAGGAGAGCACCAAGTCATACTATCGAGATCAACGAGATTCCCTGCGCGTATTAGGGATCGACAGACGTGATTGGGAGGCTATAGATGACTCGGAAGTTGAAGCGGAACTAGACGAGGAGGAAACAAAGAAGACCGTTCCGGACGGTAGCCCAGAGCTGAAAGGGGATGAGGCTCTGGACGCGTCTAGTGTACTACGGAGCATGTAAAACAGTCCCTTTCTGAAATGAAAAGAATACGATCATATGAGATGTAGGGCTGTTACAGTAAGCTTACAATCATCCGCATGAGCCACCCAGCGAAGACGGCTTGCGATCCTCGACTGTACAACGGGCCAACATCTCTCTCAAGTAAAGCGAACATATATGGATAATAAAGCTATGACACTGCAATGACTGTCCAGCCTCGAGCTGTAAGCTAAGTCTATGACAAAATTCTATATACGAAGTCCATGTCCGAGAAAGTACCGTACAACTCTAACAAGGTTGTAGGCGTCTATACAACATGGATAAAAGAGGACCGGTGGTCGAGCCTGGGATCCTGTTTTTCCGAAACGAAAAGCTTGTGCTCCGCATCCGCGAGAACGGCGTCGCACTGCGAGCGCAGGATCAGGCCGCGCCAGAATGCGACCACGGTGAGAGTCGCCAGAACGAGCCACAAGCCCGCGATGATGATCACGCAAACCACTTGGACCGTGCGCAGGCCGGGTATCTTGAGAGCGTCCGCGAGCGCACCGAGACTGCCGATCCAACCGACATTCGGGAAGGTCAGAGCCCAGCCTGTCAGACGACGTGCGTCAGCACAAAAGCCAAGCAACAGATGAGGAGCATGAGTGCTTACATCCGAGGATCTCGTTGAGGTGCTTGTGTAACTTGAACCAATACGGCAGGGCGCCGAAGAGCACGAGGAAGATGGCGAATCCGAACAGCAGCAGTGCGCCGAGGACGGACGATGCATACCACACCTCGCCGGCGATGTCCGACATGATACCGTGAAGGGGAAGGCTGCGTAATGACTATGAGCATGATCATCGACAGCGTAACAAACATAGGCGTACATTTCGCGCGCACGCGCTCCGAGGTTGATGAGGGCCAGGGCCGTGAAGCCGGGCGGACCGCAAGCGACGAAAGCACCGTTCGCTTGGTGGCCCTCCATGAAGCCGGTCGTCATAATACGCATGAAGTACACCGCGAGGTACAGGAGGGTAACCATCGAACCGATCCCCTGGAAGAAGTAGCCGACGAAGAGGACGCCGACCGCACGTTCGTCGGCGGGATCCATGACTTTGAGCACGTTGAACGCCACGACGCCGACAAGCATCATCGGGAAAACGAGGAACATCCAGGCCGGCGTGAAAGTCTTGATGTCGTGCGGGCGGTTGTACCAGATCATGAGCAGTGGGAAGCTCACGATGACAGAGAAGCCGACGTAGATCCAGAACAGGACGTAGACCAGGCGAGGGTGTATCAGTCCGGGTATGATAGCATAGTTGATGGTACCGATAACGATGGTTGCGAATGAGAGAACCTGCACCAGTGTCCGTCAGTGACTACCTTCACCGTGTGTAGGTCGGGGCACTCACGACGAGGGGTACAAAGATGTTCTTGGAAGGGTCCGTGACCAAGCGCTTCGCTTGCCGAGGGTACACTTGTTCGATGTTATGTAAGCACAAGGAGCTTCTGTTCATGAGAACGATTGGCGCTTACGAAGCGCTTGGATGGCGAGCGTCGTGACGTTGAGACAGAAGAGCGAGAGGTTGATGAAGAAGAATACGGTCTCGATCGTTTTCAGCGCGGGCGACCGGTCCTTAAGACCGCTCATGGTCACATATCTGCGGGAATCGTGAGGATCATCATCATCAACATGAGCTCAAGCTCTTGAGACGTACACTGCACCAGTCCCCATGCCCACAGGGAACGCCTGCCAGGTCCAGCCGTGCACGCGTCGTGCAATGCGGTTGACCTTGCGTTGAGGCCCTGTTGCATTTTGTGCCGGTGCAGGAGCAGAGTAGGCAGCGGCATTGAGGAAGTTGCTAGGTATCTCCCCAAGTGCGGTGGCGGTGGCGGGGAGGTCAACGACAGTTTCTGTTGGCGAAGCCACGCGGGACAGGTCGGGGGTAGACGTGTTTGTGAGTTGGTATTGGTGTGGCCTGAGGTACGCCGTGTGGGCGCTGGATTCAGAGGGGCCGCGATGGGTAGGAGAAGGAGAACGGGGAGGGGAAGGGAACGTCATTGAGTCTATGTGCATGCAGATGTGGGTGAGGGAGCAGGTAAAGACCGTAGGGTTATATGAGAGGCAAAGAGCGGCTGCGCGGGTGAATTACACCTGCAGTGCACCACGGTATATCAGTATCAGATCTCGCGTGTACACCAAGAACATTCGAAGGAGCGCTCACCTGCTTGGGAGGGTTCGAGTACGCACGGAGGCGACGTGTACGGAAGAAGGAAGAGTCCGAGGCGGTGCGCACGCTGTAGTAGTCCGTGTTATAGTAAGCTATAGCGCCCGAAGACCTTGACGTATCGGGTACTGATAAAATTAAAGCTAGTGCTGCGGTGAATGAGGGTCACTCTCGCTTCGCTGCGCCAAGCGATGGCCAAGCTGGATAGTCGCCGTGAAGATGGCTCTGCCATCTTCATTCATCTTCCAAAGTGGCTGGCTATGTCTGTGGCGAGTTCACAGTGGATGACTTTCCACAGGCGTTTGGATCCGCAAGTCGTCTTCAAACCTTTCCAAACGCTTGATCGGAATGCGCAATCGTGCCTGAGGGTCAGTTTCCGACCAAAGATAAACGAAAAATGCGGACTTGATGGCGAGTTGTTTCCCGCGTGGCCGCCTCGACCCGATCGGTCTTCTTCGAAATGCTCTTGAGGATTACCCGCTTCCTGTGCGCTGCGTACTGCTTGAGATGGGCTCAAA